CTGGTACTCCTCAGGAGACCAGGTCAGGATCGTACATATACAATGGCGATCCAGCCAGTTTCCATGACTGGGAGTTCAGGACGCTTATGCGCCTGAAGCTATATGAGGACGCAATCCGATCTCGCAAGAAGACGGATTCCGTCAAATCGGACGCTACTGGCACCGATGAAGCCACTTCCTCGGACCAGTCGGACAGCATCTTCCACACCGTCGATGTGGGAAGAGAGGCAGGGGGCAACTGGGCACCTAATGGGTCCAGGAAGGTTTTACAAGACAGGCCCTAGTCTTGTTATAGTGTGCATAGGGTGTTATACCCCAGCACACTGCAACGCAACACTCCGATCTTATAGACGAAGTGGTTTCACACTCTGAGTGCACGCGTGCACCCTATCTACTTATAGATGTAAGGGACACTCCAAGGTGGCAGCAGCTCTCTATCCCAATCTACCCAGTTGTGGGGATTGGTGATGTGTCGTTCACAAGTAATGATAAGGAGTTGTGTGCTTCATTTGAAGGATGGACTTGCAATAGCTATCCAGACATGGCTCCCAGATCATTCTATGATTGCTTTGAACCAGACTTTGTTAGCTGGGTTAAAGACAATGCTGAAGACCAAGCAGCTATGGCTTTAGCTGCTACAGCCTTTCCTGCAGAAGTGCGCGATGAGCTAGAGCAGCCATCAGAGCTTTCTTTCGACACAGTAGAAGGATCGGAGGACATCGCTAGGGAGGCAATCCAACAAGACCTCGAGCTAGATGAGGCCGAGGTACACAACTTGCCCGCATCCGAACAAGAGCGGCGTGAAGGTAGGAAGCAGCTACCGCAGCGTATTCGTGGGGCGCTGCGCCGCTTGCATCGGCAGTTCGGACACTGTCCACACAAGGTACTAATTAACCTTCTCCGTGCAGCCAAAGTAGACAAGGCGTACGTTGACGACGCCAAGCTACTCAGGTGCGCAGAGTGTGAGGAGGCAGCTCCCAGGCGCCCCGCTCACAAGGTTGCAATGCCAGAGAAATATACCTTCAACCATTCTCTGGGTATTGACATACTAGAAGTTTTGGATGCCAGTGGTACCAAATTCCAAGAACTAAACATGATCTGTTTAGGGACATGTTTTCAACTATGTGAAGTTGTTCGGGAAGGACCAGGCCAGGCCTCCAGCTCAGTGTGTCTTGACGACCTGGGCTGGGCGTCCTGAATTCTTACGTTGTGACAGAGGCCTACACAACCGTGGCGTGCTAGCCCAGTGGATGTCATCACACGCGTTGAGCACCATGGCGGTGTTCTTAAAGGAATGGCCAGGAAGGTCATATCCCAGACTTAGGCAGTCGGTTTAGCTAGCGTTCAATCCGTATTGGATGAGTGCTGTGCAACAAAGAATAGCCTACTACGCCATGGAGGCTATTCACCAGCACAATGGGTTTTAGGCAAGGCCCCGAAGGGAGTCCCTTCACTCATGGATGAGGAAGGACATGCCGACCTAGGTGCAATTCAGGATACCATTGATCCTAAATCCCGCTTCGCTCTCCAGCATCAAGCACGAGCTGAAGCCAAGAAGGCCTTTGTGCACATGGACACCTCGAAAAGGGTCCAGAGAGCATTACTTAGGAACGCCAAGCCTATCCCGCATGAATATGCTGTAGGGGATATTGTCACCTTTCATAGGGACGGTAAGACTGTTTGGTCTCCTGCGTCCAGAGTCATCGGACGCGAAGGCTCAGAAGGTCAGGACGTTTGGCTTTTATGCGAGAACGTACCGGTTTTAGTTTCAGCACAAAACCTTAGACCTGCTACTGATGCGGAGGCATTAGCGCATCAAGTTCTCAACGAAGAGCCGGTTATCCCCGACGCTATTGCGCGAGGTAACCAAGAGTTCGAAGACCACAGAGGAGCTCAGCCTGAGACTCCTGTGGAAGAACCTCAAGTCGAGGAGGAAGACCCCTTCGACTTGCCGCTTGCCTCTATCATGGAGGAAGAGGAAGCACCGAACGAGCCGGTTCGCATGCGTACTGTTCGTACAGACGCGCTAGATCGCGCTGAAGGCTCGGAACGCAGTGTGCGTCCGAGGCACGAGAGCCGTGTCGAGCCAGAGGCCGAACGACCGCCAAGTCGTAGAGCAAGTTCCTACGACATCACAGACGATCTGCCAGAGCAGATACGCAGCCAACTAGCTGATGCTCACACAGCTCAGTTTGGTGACCTTTCAGGCACCATGACAAAGAAGCAATGCCAGACATGGACAGCTTTTAAGGCGTTCATGGCCAACCGTGTTCTAACCAAAGAACAGGTTGAGCATCAACAACGGGAAGAGTACAAGCGCCTTCCCGGGATCCTCAATTATCATACGGCGTCTCCATTTATCCGTAGGAAAATAGATCAGAGCCGTGCCAAAGAGTGGAAGAAGTATGAGGATTTTCAGGCAGCAATCCCTATTAAGGGGCAAGATCTTCTTGACTGGCTTACAGAGGGACATATTGCCCTCCCCATGAAGTGGGTAGACACTATCAAGAATATACATGAACAACATAAGCCGGATTTCGAACCGGAATTCAAATCCAGGCTCGTTGGTTGTGGCAATTTTGAGGATGCCACTGGTGTTAGGACTGACGCGCCCACGTCAGATCTAGAAACCCACAGCATAGTAGCCGCTTTTGCCGTAGCTGAAGGTGTTCCACCTCAGAGTTCGGACATAAGGAACGCGTACTTTCAAGCGTTACCTATAGATCGCATAGTTATCATGCGACAACCCAGCGGCGGACTTCCAGGAGTAGACCCGGAAGCATACTTGCTGATCAGAGTACCCGTTTAGGGACTCTGTGACTCCGGCCGTGGATTCTGGAAGAAGGTGAACCACAACGCACTAGATGTAGGCCTGAAGGCGAGTCGCATCTTTCCTGCCTTTT